AGAAGTCTGAGTGGTTCCCATGGGTCTGCATCCTTTGATGGAGCCAGGAGAAGCAGATTCTCCCACCATGGTGCTCCACCGCTGCTGACATCTGCAGAGGTGAGATGAAATTTCACTTGTGTTTCCCTTGCCTTTTCTCCCAAGGAAATGGCTCTGACTACCAATCTGATGAGGGAAAGGTGGACCTGGAGCATATGAGATCTGTGGTATAAGTTATCCCTTTGTGGCAGAGTCTTTTGAAATGTGTGTGATATGACTCGTGAAAAATCCATGCTAAACGCTACAATGAGTCATGACATACATCTAAGCCCACATACTTCCCAACAGTTTTCATGCCGCAGCACACTTAGACAGTGGTATTATTTGTGTAACACACTGGGCAAATGAACAATGCTGCTCTTGCCTGGTGGAACCCTCCCTACTGATTCTGTCTGTATTGAAATTGTCCTGGTCACTTTAAGGACCGAGAAGACAACTTCAAAACTCTCGCTTAGAAGTATGACAAACACTCATCTAACCAGAAAAAAATAATGGTGTTCAGGCCTATGAGAAAACCAAAATGCTAGAGATCACAGAGGAGATCCAAAAGCCAGATAGATCATGGGATTCAGATAGAGACTCCATCATTTATCAACTGTGTGTCCTCAGGAAACAGAATAGCTCAGTTTCTTCTGCCTTTGAAATGCAAAAACAATTCTCAACTTCCATTGGATTGAGCTGGGTAATATACCTCAGCACTTTCTTAAGCACTCAATTAATGCTAGCTGCTCTAAACCCAGACAGGAAATTAAAGGTCATCTGGTCCAATCCTCTTATTGAAGAGAAGAGGAACTTTGATCAACATCATGCAACAAATTAACAGTTGAGTTAGGGCTAGAACCCAAGTGTTCTAGTTTCAATGTTGTGCTTTTATATACAAAAGAGCATAATATTTCTCCATTCTGCTGTAAAAGCATTCAAATTCCTGAAGACAGGGCTATTTCTATTGGTTTTAAATTAGTTTACCAGTAACTTCAAGCACAAATTTGATGGAGATCACTGCTCTACTGGCCTCATACCTTAATTAGGTAGCCAACAGCCAGGCTTCATCTGGCATCCTGCCTGCCAGAGACATCAAGTGACCTATCCAGAAGCCCCATGGTACACATGAACATACTAAACCTCTGCTTCTCTCACAGCCAGACATCCTTGATAGCAAGGTGAAGATTAGAACTTAGATCTCAGCACTGATGCTGGTAATCTTCCCACAGAGTTTCACTGGATTTAAGATTCATGGACTGCCTACTCTAAACACTTCACTCAAGCTATAAACATGCTGATCGCCTGCAGTCAATTACTTGCTTAAATGTGCTTGCTAGCTTGTTTTTATCCCCCCTCCAGCTACAAAAGACTGGGGCATCTTATAGGAAATACAATAAAGAGTAATAAAGAGTACATAAAAATGGACACAATCCAATATCTTAAAAACAGACCCATGAGGGCAAAAACCAGACCTATGGATATCAGGCCCATGCTATCTGTTGTGGTAGTTACCAGGCACATGTGTTTACTTAAGTTTCAATTAAAGAAAATTAAATAAAATTTAAAATTAATTCCACAGATCACTACCCACATTTTAAGCACTTTACAGCCGCATGTGGCTAATGACCCCTTAGACACTGAAGCTACAGACTATCACCTTGATTGTCGGAAGTTCTATCGGGCAATACTGTCTAGACACACAACCAGTGCATGCAGTTTTGTACATTTGCAATAAATCAGCTAAACTTTTGGCTCTGAGCTTCATGTTAGAAAAGCCAAAATCAAAACAAAAGAAATCAGAGTGTCATCATCAATTCCTCAAGGGAAGGAAAACTTCTAACACGTAGACCTAAAAAAATTTCCCTTATGGGGTTTTATGAAAAAGGCCACTCAATGACACAGTGAAGAATGTCTTTAGGGACCACAAGAGACAAGGGAACAACAAATTTCAAATTCAGTTTTTATATTGCCTCGCTACAAATTTTGGAGTATTAATTACTAAAATCCAACTTAGTGAAAACCACTTCTCCTGTGAGAGTTGGGTACTCACTTACTTGGTTCTGAAGGAGTGATACATACACACCGCTCACATGAATTTGCTCTAAGGGAATGACATTTGTAATGAGGCCTAAACAACAAGAGAAAGAAGCCATCAAGATCTAGAAGAAAAGCATCCAAGCGGAAGGATAAGCAAGTGCAAAGCTCATCAGATTGGAAAGTGTTTGGCAAGTGTGAGGGGGAGAAAGACTCCTAACTGTGGATGAGACAGAGAGTAGAGGGAGATGATGCCTGATGGGTTGCTAGGTCACGTAGTGCATTAGAACTCACGGTGGGATGGCAGGACAGAGAGGTGAAAAATCAGTCCGGCAGCTACATGAGAAGCTGACTACAGGGGGCAAAAGTGTGGCCAGCATAGATGGGAATAAGATAGTGGCTGGAGAAGGTGGTGAGAAACAGGCTACATGGATAAGTATTTTAGATGTAAAGCCATAAGACTTGATGAATGAGTAAACATGGGGTTTGAGGGAAATAAACAAAATTAGAATGACCCATGGCTATTTGTCTTGAATAAATAGCTAGAAGGTTGGTTATCATTTATTGTGACAGGGAAGACATGGAGAGGAAGAATTGAGGATGGAGATGCAATAGTCTGGGAAAGGAGGAATTAGAGAAAGAGTAATCACTAGTTTAATTTGGGTCATGGTTTTCATGCAATGCCTATTATACACAAAAGCAGAGTTATCAAGACTGGAGCTCAGAAGATATATCCATTGAAGATGGAGATTTTAAGTTGTCTGCACAGAGATGGTATTTTCAAGCCACAGGAGTCAGAGAGTTCATCAGGAAGAGAATATACAGAATAGATATAGAAGCTCAGAGCACTCCAAAATTTGGTGTACAGGAAGGAAGAAGGGCTGCACTGGAGACAGAAAGGTAAGCACAAACCGGGGGAGTATAGAATCCCCAGAAGCCTAGAGAATAAAGTGTTCAAAGTAAAAGCCATGTCAAATTGTTCTGGATAGTCAGTTGAGTATGTTTTGGCATTGGAAACATGTAGGTCACTGGTGACCTTGCTAATGCTGTTTAAATGGAGTGACAAGTTTGAAGAAAGTTAGAGCAGAGTTGAGGAGAGAATGGGAACTGAAGAAGTGGACACAAGAAGTGTGGCTCGTACTCTATAACTTTTTTTTTCTGATGGATCAAAGAAATGGGGTGGTGGCTGGGGAAGCACTGGGCTCAAGGGGAAGTTGCTTTTTTAAGTGGTTGTGAGAAAGGTATAGTTCTACATTGATGGGATAGATGCCACAGCACTTGATGAAGGAAATGCGATGTTGCAGTGGAGAACTACAGAAGCCGGGACAGGGTTCAGAAGACAAGTGGAAAGATCCAGAAGACAAGTGGAAGGGTTGAACACAGAGACTGTGGCGTTTCCTCCACTGCAGTAAAAGGGAGGCAGTGTAAGTGGGCACAGATGCAGGTGGCTTAAGGAGTTGGTGGTGGAAAGATGAAAGGACGATCTGATAGGAATATCATCATCCTAACCTAAGGAAAGGATGGAATACGGTAGACGTTTTAGGAGAGAGTCAAAGATGTGAAAGAGCTGATCCTAAGACAGAGAGAGAATTTTCTAGAAATGGTGTTGGACCCTCTGGCAGGGTCTACTACAAGTTTATGCTCACACATTTGAAAAAAACCAGTCAGCATGGTCTGCTATGTTTTTAATGACATTCTGCAGCCTATGGGCAAGAAAAGGAGCAGTGAGAGACTATATTTCACCAGGATTGGGGACTTGTTGGGTACATTAAAGGAGAAAAGCCACGGGAGAACTTAGGGCATTGGAGAAAGTTGTTATAGCATGGAGCAGAAGCTCCAGGGTTGGAATAGGGTTTAGCTTGAAGCCACTGAACATCACTGGGCTGCACATGTATCTAAACCACCTGCCTGGACCCATCAGTGTGCCAAGAACTTTCCTCCCCCAACAAGGGAGCCCATTACTGATTTTACCTGGTTCCCACCATATCTAGAGTCCCCCTCCCAGGCTTGCGTAGCCAATTAGAACCTGAGAATCCAGCACCAAACTGGGGAACAAGTTGCTCTTGAGCAGATTCACTGTGCAGCCAAGTCTAACACATTACTTAGACGTAGGAGGCAGAGCGGCTGGCAGGAAAGCACCCCAGACATGCAGAGAGAAGACCTGGGCTGTGGTCAGTTTCCGTGGCACTTAACAGATGGGAAGGTTCTCTCATACCGTGAGCCTCTGTTCCCTCCTGTAATTCTGCCCGGCTGAAATTACAGCTTGTTACCCAGATCTGAAGGAGACGACGAATGTAAGACCATTTTCAAGTGGAAGGAATTCTAGAACTGTGAAAAATTGCATTATGATGATGATTCTGGAAGGTGGCACCAATGCAAATTTAAGGCATTTGCCGGGGTGAGATTTTGATTTCAAATGTCAGCAAATATATAGGTCACCACGGTTTATAAGCAATTTGCCTTAAAATTAGAAACTGTTGAAAAGCTTACCATGAAAGCCAGTGCATTTCAAAACAGAGGCACTGGGAAGAAACATTCTCTCTTTTTTGTGCAATATCCTACAAATTCGTAGTTCCCACATGCCCAATACCTTGCTGCAGCTGGCAACCTTGTGATTTTGAGCAGTGAGATAATTTAATTGCTCTGGGATCCTAAGTAAGTGTCTCTACCTTTGGGTGCTACCTCTGTAAAATGGGAAGAATTATACCACCTTGCTCCGCTTATAGTTTTTTTGTCAGAAGGAAAAAAAATAATACTAACTGAAGAGTACTCTTGGTTACTCTAAAAAAAGGGGCTGGTTATAAAAGTGAAGTGTCACTATTATTATGTGTGAGGCAGTCCACCCCCATCATGTCCCGGGGCTACAATGTGAGTTGTGTGACAGGCTATTTTTAAATTCCCATCTCTGGAAACATATGGTCCCTCACAGTGCCAAAAAGAGAAAAATGACCTGCTTCTATTTGCTTGCTTGTTTGTTTGATCTGATGCTACATTGTCTATGTTCCTCCTAAAGATGTTCTTTTCTCAACACTTAAGGTGAGTGCTGAAAACATTCTCTATTGTCTGAGGGAGACCACAGAGATATAATTCGTTTAGGCAACAGTGAATTCTACCTTGGGGCAACTGTATGTTTATACAGATCATCTCTCTTGTGTTTCCTCTGTATCAGTTAAACTGTTTCAAAAATAGTAGGATGATCCCATTTTTCATGATTCTCTCTCATTTGGTGCTAGGTTGGTTTGCTCATTGGCAGCACTCTTTAGGTGTAATAATTTTCTTGCAAATATTGGAGCATTTACATCTTAGAAAAAAAAAACAGATTCTTTTGCTTTAATGTGATCCACAAAAAGGAAAATTGCCTAAGTGTTTTCCTGGTTGTTCATTAATATTGTTCTTTCTTTGTTTTGTTTTGTTTTGTTAATATCAATTGCTATTGACTGAAGCCCTTTTCTGCTCTAAATATATGGCATGTCTGTTATAAACTTCATATATGCTGCCCTTTTTAACTGACCTAACTTTACCCTGCTGCTTTGCTATGGCAAGACTATCGTGAATCTTGTCATACTTCCCAAAGACAGGATTTGATTTCTGACACCAAATCCGTGGAAAGATATCCAGCTGATCAGATGCAAAAGAAAAGAGGTGAAAACACTTATTTCACCTGACTTTTGTACCAGAGGAAAGAAAATCTCCAGTTGAAATAAATAAGAATCCTATAATTCCCTCCTTCCCTCCCCTCCCCATTCCCTTCTCTTCCCTTCCCTTCCAATTTTTCCCCTTCCCTTCCCTTCACTTCCCTCTTTTCCCCTTCCCTTCCCTTTGCTTCCTCCCTCCCCATCTTCCTGTAAGGTTGAGGATCCACCTATTTTGCTTCTGTGTCAAGCGATAAATAAAAGTAGAACTGAAGATATTTCAAAGCACTTTATTTACTCAACAGAAAGGGTGATTTATAAATGGGGGTAGTTAGGAAAACTCAGGAAGAGAGGGCTTGCATCTTCAGCTATATGACAGAATTAAGAACTTCTAAGGAGAAGCTGAAGGCTTGTGTGTGACTCTAGGGACCAATAAGAAAGCCAGTCAGGAAAATTCTAAACTAAACTTGTGAAGACACAGGCACACGAAACATGTGAACATACCAACAGACGTACCCAACATCTTCCTCCACTGGTGGAGACTCCTTAGAGAGACTGAAGAAGAAAGAGATAATTGAGCAGCGCTGCTGAGGACATTGGAGCAGAAGTTCTTCAATAAACAACATGTGTGCCCAGGTAGTCTTTATGATCCTGTCCAGCTCTGATAATCTCCGATTATACAGGTCAGGCAGCAACTTCACATACTTCCTGATGGACAAATAGGCACTGTAGAAACCAACGTACATTTTCAAGAGTTTTCTAGTATCATGTAAAGAGGTTCCCTCTTTTGTTTTGCCCCATACTTGCTCAATTTAACTCAAATCCCAAAGTTCAGTTCCAAAGAGAAGAAGGTGATCAATAACTTATCCCTCCCCTACAAGCAGAATGATCTTCCACTTACATGTAACTCTCTCTCCATTTCCACTGGCCTAATGCAGACAATCATCATCCCTGCTGTGGACTCCTGTGGCAGCCCTCTACTTTCCCGCAGGTCTCTGTCAGTCCATCCTTTGTATATTAGCCCTCTCCTGTGAGCATTTCAACATCACCTATCACTGGTTTGAAAGATGCTCTGACTCTCACTTGCCTGTAATGCTCCTCAAAAATGTAAATAGATTAACTCAATTGAGCTGGATCTCGAACTCGAAGCAGATTGGCCTATCCAGTCTCCTGAGGAAAGCCCACACCAGTTGATTTAGTCATGCCACACCATAATGACCTCCATTTTCGCTGTCCACTTCTCCACCTGCTTTGGGCCTCCCCGCCTCCTCCAGTTCTCCACTTTGTTGATGATCTCCTTCTTCTCTGCAAACTGTGTGGGCTCAGGGCTTGTAGTGATCACTGATGTAGCAAATATTTCACAGCCTAGAGGGGTGATATGTATCTGCATTGTTTGAGTGAGTTGTAAATTCCTGGAGAACAGGGACAGTCTCTTGCATTTCTGAGACACTCCTTTGCACACCACTGGGCAGGGGAAAGTAGTGGAAATCTTTCACATCGACAGCAGTATTTAAACTTTGCTCCTAATAGCTAGGTGGCATCTACATGATAGATAATAAATAGCCTCCTAGGTTTGAGGAAAGTAGGTTCAAAGAGTTGGTCATGCTTGCAAGTGTGACAGGTTTTCTAGTCCAATGCCCTCCCAAGTATAACTATGAAATGAGTAAATAAAAGAATAGATTTCACAGTTCAAAAATTTGTGGGTAGCCAAAAGGAAGTGGCCATGTATTTTGGCAAGTGCACGTTCACGTTGATATAGGCTGACCTCCCGTGCAGGCCATCCTCTTTGTATGGATGGCCTTGGTTTCACTGGTAAGTGGCCCATGTCTCTTTGACTCTGGTTTTGCTCTGTAATGAGAAGAGGTTTCAGGGAGAGCCAAGAGCCTTGTGAGATGTGTTTCCATGGGGGCCTAGATGGAGATCAGTGAACTCAGACATTGCTCAGGACCACCTCCGGGACTGTCCTTCCCAGGCTTCAGTCACCCAGGCAGACAGAAAGGATAGGAACCTGGGGGCAGCCCTAGGCACTCAGTCCTTTGTATTCATCTCTTTCTTAACTACTAAATCCACCCAGTCACATTTAAATAAATTATAAAAGACTTTGAAAATGTGTTTCTGTTCCTCTAGAAATTACCTCTGAATTTTCTAGTAAAAACGTCTGCCAGCTTTGTTCAGCCAAGTTCTTTTCTCCTCTCTTTTCTTTGACAATGAAAGCGGCTTTGGTGCCAACACTCAGATCTGGTAGGTGTTGGATGACACATGTTCTGTGATGTGTATTACATAAGTTCATTCAAGCTAGCTACCCTGGCCTTTGAGGCATCATTTCTCCTTATCATAAGAATGTCACTGAAAACCAGGAGCCTGAGATACTCCACAGAGATCTATTCCATTCCTTCTTCTCCTGGATTCTGTGTGCTTTTGATAGCTGGTGCAATGGAGAAGTCAGGAGACTGGCCCCTGAGTCCTGACTGCCACAAATGTAGCCCTGAGGAAGCTTCTTCTCTGCGCCTAGTCTTAGGTTGCTCATTTGTAAAACGAAGAGGTGGAAACTGTGATTGCCAAGGTCTCTCGATATTCTGACATGTCCTGATGAGAGTACAGACTGGCGAGGGACTAAAAAAGAAGCAATTTCAGTGAAGCAGAAACACACGCTTGCCTTTCCTTAACCAGAGTGTGCTTTACATAACCGAATCTACTTCCTTTCTTACCGGCTCATCCTTCAGGCAGGAGCAATGCTGCAGCGCTGCCTGCAGCAGCCCGGGGAGGAGGGGATACAGGATGCACACGTGTGAACCAGGAGCAAGGTGAGGCTGGCAGAAAACAGGGGCAAGTAACACTCATTACCGTGACTTTTGCGCACTTCCTATTTTTGCAATTATGTTATGTTGGAAGAAAAGGACTTTCAAGATATTTAAAGTATGAAAGTTTAGGTGGAACCACTAAGAAACTTCCAGTCTCAAGACTGTTCTAGAGAAGGCACTCAGAAACTTTAATTCTGTAAATTAGATTATTCTTAAGAAAAAAGAAAGTCAAAACAAAATTTGCTCGTAAAAATTAAGAAGTGAACATTTGCTGTTCTTTTCCCCCAAAACTTTCTATTAGCCCATGTAGAATGGTACTATAGGCCTTCCCATGTATTCAGTTTCAATCCAAATAAGCTCCCGCACATTTAGTAATTTCAAAACAGATTTCCTTTCCCAGGTAGGAAACTGAGGTGCTAACAGGCTGAGTTACGTGTCTGTCAGAATATCCAGGTCGTAGGTGCCAAAGCTGAGCTATGTGTCAGAATATCCAGGTCGTAGGTGGCAAAGCTGAGATCCAGGTCTGTTGTTCCTGGTGTAAAAGTTTGCTCAAACTCCAAGACCTTCCCCAGGCCCGCAGTGAGGTCTGCTTGGCCTCAAGCAGAGAGCTGAGTCATTATCTACAAGCCTGGAATGGGGGTTATGGTTTTGAACCCTAAAGGGCTAATGCAGAATCACAGGCTCTCTCAGGGCAGTGAATTCCCCATCACTTAACTTTTTCCTCAGTTGAGTATCTGTCTGGTGCTCTGCTACAGGCAGCAGCAGAATGAACACTGACACCCCTCAATTCTTTCCCTTCTTACCCTCTTTAAAAGACCTGGTATGAAAAGCCAAAATGATTCAGCAGATCAGCCACCACTCAGAAGATCATGAACTCCTTTTTCAAGCCACTTAATAATTCTTCCTTCCAGAGCTGGATGAAGCTAACTTTTGCCTCAGTTACTTTCATGACTCCCATTGGTTGGCCTAACCGATATAGCACAGAGGGACTGAGGCAGAAAGAAATGTGATTGCCCGTGAGTCATTCATTCTTGACCTTCAGCATGTTTTGAAAATGTGTTGTGAAATGCTTACCAATCAATACATCACTGGGCAGCAGCAAGGCTGGGGGTTGTGCAAGAGGAGAAGCAGAGCATTAACGCTGGATCAGTCTGGAGGCTCCAAATTCCTGTTGAGAGCAGGACCTCAGAGCACAGGTCCTCTTAAAAGTTTTTAATGGAAGTGAAGTGGTGATCAAGGACAAAGGAGAATGAAGAGCCCTCTTTGACTTGAACAGATTAAGAATAGCTGGGTGGGCAGCAAGGTGTAGATACTCAGTCTATCGTTTCTGTCAAGGACTAAGAACAGTGCTAACTCTAGGCTGCTGCCAGGAATCCCTTCTCTGCACCATAGGGCTTTACAAATGTCCTAGGAAAAGGAAGCAGCTGGTAGGAAGGGAAAGAGCACAGAATAAAGAGTCTAAAGATCCAGTTCAAGCCCTGCCTGCCGCTTGCTAATCCTACGACGCTAAGAGTGGTCATAGCACTTGTCAGATCTCCTGGCTCTTCACATCTACGAAGTGGAGATGGTACCTGCCCCATAGATCCAACGAAACCCAAAGCAA